GTGAGGTAGGGTTACATTTGGCTGCGTTACGTTGGATCCGTTTCGGTGAGCGCAATGCCGGCGTTGGGTTTCCAGGGTCGTGGCTCACGGCATCTCGAGGCTCATCTTTGTTTTATTCAGCACACTCGTTCAGTCAAGTGTGGCCGACAATCAATGTTATATTATTACTGACAGATTAATTATTTTTAAAAAATACTGGGATACTGGGAACGATCCGTTATTCAAGTTCCTGAGCACTGCGGGTCCCAACGTTTCGTTTACTTCATCTATAGACATTCATTGGACTCCTAGGACGGGGGATCGGCCCGTCGCAAGGCCTCTACCTGTACACACGACAGCACAACAGAGAAAAAAGCGGACAGACATCCATGGCTTGAGTGGGATTAGAACCCACGGTCCCAGCGACCAAGCGGCACAAGGCCCGTGCTTCAGACCGCGCGGTCACTGCAGACCCATTTTTAAAAAATTAACATCATAAACATCTTCAGCGAGGCGTCATCTTTTAAACGACAATATATTACTTTTGAGCAGGCTTATGCATTTTCATATTAATCTATAAAGCATCATTTAATATCACAATTATAATCTTGAAGGCAAATAGTCAAAGAGTAAAATTCCATTTTATTTTTAAGATGAGACCTGAGAAAACGTCCAAAATCTCCTTTTATCTGCAACCACGAAGTCGTTTGTAAGTGAGAAGTGGGATAAAGCGCAGACTAACCTAGATCTTGCGTTCGTCTCGATCTGTTGTTATAGGCATTCAGAATGTGTCAACATTCGAGACATATCGCTCCCCCCAGGACGAAATATTAAATCTAACTGTAATAAGGCAAAAAAGATTGAGGAAAAGCGAGAGGCAAAAAGATGGAATAAGAGATGAGAAATGGAACCCATGAATTCTGACTGTGAATAAAGAAAATAATAAAAAATGAACAGAACACTTGTGATTGATGCAGTATCAGAAACTATCGGCGGATAAATTATTGTTACACTTTGTACTTCAGCTTGAGATGGGAAAGACGTAAGACGGAACTAAAATGCGAATCACTTTTATGCTCTATTACTGAATAAACGGATAAAAATGTTTCAATTTCATTGCGGACTGAAAGCGACATTTCGCTGGAAAGCATGAGTTAAACATATAATAGGGCACTCTAATATATTTTTCCACTAAGGTAGCAAATACGTGCTTACAAGCCAAACGATGTATATCGATATTTGTACAAACTGTCGTGCTCGTAAAATATCGGAGCAAACTCAGCTACTTGATTTATGATAAGAAGCGTATACCATGGAGACGAGAAATAAAATGTCACAGTCTTATACATTTTTCAAGTTACAGGGTTAAAGATGAAAACAGTACCATTCTCCGATAAGATGGTGGTCCACACGACATCACAACCCAGAAGCCCAACACCAATATTTCACTTAAATCTTACATTGTTTGCCCTTTACCAAACAAATATGAGGTATTCGATCGAGGGATAGAAATCGCTGGCAACCTCTATATAACACTGTTTATACCGCATGCATAGCAGGAGATGCGGACAAGTTGCCGCAATATCAAGGAGTAAATATACACGTTGACACCTTCAGTCGTCATCATTACAGGCAACTATCGACATTAAGCAGGGTGTTCTATTCGACTACGGAGCGAAATCGTTAGTTCACACTTGAAGGGTCTGGAAACGATTAGAATGACGTAAGACTTGAGGCTTTCTCGGCGACGAGCCGCGTGAAGATTAAATCGAGGACAGCGTCTCTGAAACGTTGGACTACCATTCCATTTTGACGCGGCTTGTCACCCGAGAAGATTTTATATGAATTATAATGATGATTATCCTTACACAAATCTGTTTAAACAAAATACTGTGGGCATTAGGCCTACTTACTAACTAACTCCATGAAGCAAACTGTGTCTTAAACATATAGTACAGTTTCTCAATTGGTCATATTTCCTAACCTTTAAGATTATATTTCAATATTACCGATTACATTTTCGTGTAACTGATATAATGTGTGCATCATGCCCCGTCCATGTCATCCCTAGCTACTTGATCACCGTAATAATTGCTCCGGAAGACCATAAATAGCAAAAGTATTCATCGTCCGGTTGTTTCCATCCTCCTATTATTTCCGCTCTCGGTGGTGAAAATATCTCACGTATCCTGAAAACGTAGCTTATAAATAAAGACAGCAATTTTATCTGTCAAAATGTTACAGAATACAGTCATCTTCGTACTCGCCGCCGTGAAAACCTCAAATCCTACAAAACGTTACTGGTGTTTAAGGAACAGCGTATGTGTGATCGTTACAGCTCTTTATGGAATCTTGACCCTTATAACCAGGTTAGCAAAACAGAGCTTGAAGACGAAGAGGAATCTATCTGTTTTGTGTTAAGGAGCATGTGGGTGCATGAGTTCAGACGTTATTTATAAACCCGTCCGTTTGGACCTAAATATAGCAAGCACGCTGCCTCTCGGCCGTCAGCATTCGCACGGCATTATTCTCTGGCGCTTTGCTTCCAATTATAATTCAATCCGGGATATGTGAATGGCAAACGTTAAGATTTTAATTACGTTATAATTTGACCGTTTCCTAACACCAAATTGCATTTATCTTGACATAAATGTCTATTAGGAATGCGTCTTTAGATTATCGTTTAACAGACGTTTGCATGTACTGGAGGATTTGAACAGTCATTAAAATGTAAGAGATTACAAAACCGGCCATGCAAAGGGAGCCTCATTGTCGTGTACCATAATCAAATCACAGACGTAAAAATAAAGAACCACTGTTAGTGTAAAAATTAAGCAAGAGTACTTATAGATATTAGAAAAGGTCGCATATGGCGGGATTTTTTTTTGGTTCTTGCGCTTTAAACTATTCTGGTGAACATTCTGGATGAACATACTGCCAACAAATTAAGCCCTGAATATGGAGGTGGGAATAAATATATTTCAGGTACTATTCGCGACTTTATTACTTACATTCATCCACAAACTGAGTCTAAATCTCCATTCACGAATATATATGGGTCCACCAGATATACTGTCACGTAAATGAGCCGTCACGTGTGTTTATAAGGGAAGCTTTTACACGCGTCACTTACATGGAACGTGAGCAAATTAATTTTTCCAATGGCGTTATATATTTTTTCAGGAATTTATGGCTTTACTTCACACTAATACGAACATAACTATGGAAAATCAAAATTCATTTCTTCTAATGGGCATTAATAAATCGTTGTGTATGGCACTGCATCAGCTATAATGGTTTTAAAATGTCGAATCACATGGTAAATACGTAATTGAAAATGGTAAATACGTAATTGAAAGAAGGAAGTTTACCGCATTCTGAAGATTTTGAAAGAAACCACAACAAACAGTTATTTTCTCTATAGCATAATTCTGTTTCTTCTTCTTATTTTAAAACTTATCTCTGCAAATGAGTTTTGCAAGAAAAGAGCATACCAATATTCACAAACATTCGTAAGATTCAAACAGTTTTTTTTTCGGAAAATCAGTCGCCTTGTCAAAAAAACGAATAACCAGATTTTCCGACTTTCTGATTCAAAAGGGATGGAAAGCAGCAGTATCACAGAAACATCATTCATACAGACTCATTTACTGATACTTAATTTCGCTTTCCTTTAGTCTATAAAGTCCCCCTTAGCTGTTCTACCAACACAATGGCAGAAACAAAGAACAATTCCAACGTTTCGCCCCCGTTACCCCTGACACAACTTTATCAACTTTAAGGTGTCGCCATATTTTTAACAGTGTCTCACTCCATTTCCCTTCCCTGTCCCATTTTGCACGAAGGGAGGGGAGAAAGATTAAATGTGAGTATACAAGAAAGAGAACACAAGATTCCCATGACGTCTGGGCCGCCTTCATATCTCTGAGACGAACTTCAGTATTTTCAAATCCTGGTTTATGAGACTGAGCTTCATACTAAATCTTACTTTACAGTGCAGTAGTGGCGTAGGGTTGGGTTGGGATCTGTGTTACACTATTGGCGAAAAGGCTTAAGCCCTAATGTTTTCAGGTACGAAATGTGGGCATGTGCGGATGGAAATATGAAGAGTGGAATGAGAGAGGTGGAAAAAGCTTAGGAACGAGTCGGATATTCAAGTGAGATGCACCACTTTCAACCAAACTGCATACAGTTAACCCTCGTCCAACATGAGGATGAGGCCGTCGAAAGAGGCGCCCTCAGTTCGTCTGCGTTAGACGGAATTAATACTGTTTGCGATTGATGGGCAATCGGGAACTAGGCCTTTGAAAGTGAAAGTAAGTAAACAATCAAATCAAGTAGAATTCGGTACTGACATTCATCTATGAACAAACCGTGTAATACATTAAACTAAGATATCAAAGAAAATACAGCCGTTTTCTGGTAGGATTGATGGTTTTCACGCCGGTGAGTACGAAGATGGCTGTCTTATGGCTTGCAGCGCAGAATACTCCGGTAAAGTCTGCCAACGTTTCAGAGGTCCTTGCTGCCTCCATCATCACTACATAATTTCTTTATAGTTTACAATCAGGCGTAATAATAACTTTTTATGTATCAAGCATTTTGAAAGAGGTCGTCATAGACGGGCTGACAACAGGATTGTTGAATATCTCCGCATTCTCAAACGATTATATTTTCTGCCGATTTACTTGAAACTTGTTGTACGGTTGCCTAGAAACATGTTTATACTGATGAAAATCTCTTCATTTTGTAGATTGCTGTCTTCTGGGTTGTTGCAATTCATCGCTCTGATGATGGAGGCAGCAAGAACCTAAGAAACGTCGGGAAACTTCTATCAGACTGCACAACAACCCAGAAGACAGAAATCTTCAGACTCACCGCCGTGAAAACCTCAAATCTTACATCCTCATTTTGTGTTTATACCAGAGTCCGGAAAATTTGTTTAAAGGTCATAACAGCACTTCAAATGCTTTCGTCCGATTCCCGAATCACTGTTTGCTTCGTGCAAAGTAATTACTTACCCCTGGCAAGGTGTGCTTCTCATGCAGAGCGTTTTGAGCGTTCACGGCGCTGTCCCGACTGTAGTACGTGAGGAATGCACAGCCTGTAACGAAGACACATTCTGAATAAGCACACATTTTCTGACAAAAGTCGATCAAACTGCAGACTTCGTATGCTATTAACAACCTATGACATTAAGGTTTCCAATTTTACTTGAAACTGAGTATTATAAAAATATATGTTACATAGAAATATATTATGTTCACTAAATGTATGTTTCTATTACAGGCGCTGACTTTTCAAAAGTCTGGGGGTACTCAGGCTTGCGTTATAAATTCTCCTGGCAGACAATCTCAGATGAATAAAAATGCAGCCAACTACAAAAAGTCAGCATCAGAAACTCAAGGAATGAACAGAGTGGAACTAAAGTGTATTCACTAGCATCTGTCGCTCTTGAATTCCAAGAAAATCCTTAGTCAAAACAAAACTCAACCGGATGGAGTGGGTATAAAAAATGCAGTGGCATGAAGGATTGTCGAAAATTGTAAACATTCAACAAATGATTGTTCTGGGCCCTAATCAAAGTCGATGTACGTTGATTAAAATCATTATGAAAAATGGTTATGTTAAACGTAAGGTAAGGGAATTTCAAGGGGTTTTTGAGTACCAGATCCCTCACGCACAAAATACAAAAAAAAACGAAACGGTTGTGGCAAAAAGCGGTCGACGTAGCACCATTACTTTGCAAATACGACATGAACCAGCAAGTTTACAGACGGTTACACACATTGTTTTAAAATATGACTGTTTCCATTCTAAATACCTTGATTAATATGATTATTAAACAGTGATAATAACCAGGTCATCGCAAAACACCCCCAGAGTTTATTTCATGGATCAAATCAGACACCCCAGTTGTTCGTGTACGTACAAGACCTATTTTCACATCACATGTGATTCCTCTACTGGGTCTCTGTATGTGGAAGTGCGGAAGTTGCTAGCCGATGCATTAAACTGCACTCATACGTGCTTAAACATATGTTAGTTCGACTACTAGCCGACGTCACACCAGGAGGATGCTCCAAAATTCTACGCATTCGAAAATTAAATAAGATATGCCATCTAAATCCAAGTTAGATCAAAAGAAAAATTAACTTATATTTTCAAAAGAACGTGCAATGGTTATTCATCCATGTCTCTGTTCTGATACGAATAAAAGTAAAATGTACAAGAACAGACATCGGTGCTGACCATATTTTTCACCCCATATTGAATGACATAAAATTTCAACAAATGACTGAAAATATGGATATCGAACTTTAATTGTCTCTGAATATTTTATACGAGATAAATCTAAAGTCTAATGGAAATGCATGACCCAGACAAGATATTAACATTCCCATTCAGAATTTCGAGAATGTCAGAAAGGATCACAGCTAGAACTGCAGTAGGATGGGGCAACACTATTGTTTGTAAATAACAACAATAATTAAACAGTTCAATTCATTTACTATTGTAATTGCGGACAAACAAGAGATGGACTGTCGTCTGAAGAGATACATGTTGCCTCCATCAGGACGATGACGGGTGCAGCAGAGACCTCTGAAACGTCGGTAAACTTATATCAGACTACACGGCGTAACATCTGAAAAACTCATCTATATATAACCGTAAATGAGACCGAGTATCAACATTTCTAATTAGCCTTCAATTTCATTTGAATGTAATTTAAAACTGCACTAAGACTAATCCATGTAGTATTTATGTCACTTTACTATATTACAGATTCAAATAGTGTAGTCATCTCACTTGACTAGCCGTACATAAAGCCACATTTGATCACGGTGTGAAATCTTGTAGATAACTGGGGCTCAGTTCATTACTCAGCTTCGAAAGACGTCAGAATGGAAGCTGCCAGGGGATGGGTGAAATATATGAAAGAGTTCAACTTAATGGAACACCGAAGAGAACGGGCCTACCGAACCAGATGAATTCAGTTCAAAATCTCACACTACATTTCTTTAAAATCAATCTCAGTATTAACTGCGTAGTTACTTGGTAATTAAATTAACGTCAAATTACAAAAAAAAATTACCATTTGAACCTGCAATATTTTGACCATCTTCAGTGGAAACCAGAAAACGGAGGCTGTTTTCCCCGTGATATTCTAGGAAAATTACATTTTTATCTACGTCAGATACGATAATGGAAAAGAAATCCTGTAATAGTTTGGTCAACCCCGCCAGCGACTCTTCTGCTGTGCATTCATATAATATACGGGGGTGGTAAGGAACGTGAAGGCGGATGGTTTCTACTTCCGGTCCCTGGAGGTCGTCCATCTTTGTCCCGCCACAAAACGACTTCATTTCCGGGACCGCAGCGGGGCAGTAGGGACGCTAATGATCCCGGGACAGAGAGAAAACTCCGCCTTGCTTTCCTTTCTTTTATACATCACGCGGTTTGTGTAACGCAGCGTAGCCTCGTTTCTGCCTCGTTTTCGGACAGGCATGAGTTCAGCACGGTTACCGTACTTCATACTTTTTCTTTCTTCTTAATACTACTGTTTCATACTCTTATCGGCATAAAACTAGAATGTTTACAAACCGCAGGTAACAAACTGCATCGTCTAACATTCGCTACCTCGACATCAAACAGATTTCAGCGACAGGTTTGGCTTTTGGGCTCTCTTTATATTTTCGTGCAAATCCTCAAGGTTAGACGAAGTTCTCAACAGGAAGTTTAACCCACTGGCATTCTTAGACGGCTATAAGACGTCACAATAATTCAGAAATTCCATTTATTAAAGACAAGAGACTTAATTCAAATTTCCTTTCTGGCACATATCAAGGAAACTACCACTGACCAAATTTTGCTTCCCCTGTAATATGTACCACACGTTTGACACTGAACCCTTCACAGAGCCCTTCCTCGTATGATGATAGTACCACAGCTGGTCAAGAATATATTCGTCATTCATGAAACTCGAATGAACATTAGAGTCTGCCATTTTCAGATCAGTCCAACTGGATCCTGTCCTGAACTACTTAAATCTTGTTCACTCACTATCTGCTCTTAACTGTTGATTGGTCGACACAGAAGTGCATATTTGGCGCAATGAACTTACATTTATCATTTCACATATAAATTCTGTGACATGGTGTTCTCTAAGAAATTTTAAAATTAATGGCTGACGTTTATGTCTCTACTGAAATTAGGAGTGTATCTTACCGGTCTTTAGGAGACATTTTGTAACCCTCCTTCATAAAACGAAAATTAAAAATGAAATTATAATGGGAGTTTTACGGCTTTCTGGATGTGCGGTAACGCCTACTTTACCTTCGTCATCATCGATAATAATTGCATGTGGTAGCTGACAGTCGCACAAGTAGTCATCAAATACCATGCGTTTCACAAAACCCGATGGTTGACTACCGTGTCAGCCACTGGACCCTATCGCTACGTCTTCACACTATCCCATCTATATCTAGTTCCCCTAGGTTTTCCGAGTAGCATTTTTTGTGTATTTCTAATCTTACTCATTCGTACTAAATGTTTCACCCGTCTTATCTTCACTGATATGATCTTAATTTCGTATAAGAGGGGAAAATATCAAAGAAAAATTTGTAAACGTATATCAAATACGAAAATATCTCCCCATTCCGAAGAAAATTGGTCCAGAACATATGATCCGTGGATATGATGTATGAATCCACATAGACCTATGTGAATAATATAAACTGAATAATATTACAAATCACTGCCTTAGTATCTGCGGTACGTTCCGAGTACACAAAATAGCAACGTCTGCCACTTTGGACCTTACCTGGCATCGTCTATTCATTAAACAGTTATACTACTAGAAAAAATGAGAAACTGAGATAAAGATACAAATTAAAAATCATGTCGCTTAGTAAAACTCGTGGTCACACGTGTTTACACCAAACACACTCCCCCACAATGGTAGTTGATGGGGCCGAACGTAATTAGCTGGGCGATGAAAATGACAACCCTTTCCTCTCCTGTGAACGCGCAGTAATCACCGCGAATCGATCGCAAGTCTGCATGTACGCAGATCTGTATGAACGTACGTACAGAAACTTTCACGATTAAAGCCACTCAATTAAAATGATTCTACGAGCCATCATTTCTCTCGGAGGATCTCGGAAAACATGAGGAATGTTGCACAGGATAAAGTATCAGATCAACGAACAAAAGCAGAAAGTTACAGAACACGAAGCAGGGACTGTATCCGCTCACGTCTAATGGAGAACGTTGCAGAAATTAAGTTTAACTGCATAAATAATGTTTTTGAGCAACTCAGAAAAAACAAAGTGTTGCTACAATTTTCACGCTACTTTTTAGTGTTTAATCTCTTTCGCTGGAACCACAGCATCCCACATTCCGAAACGGTTTGGGGCCTCAAACGATATGGCATCTAACTTATTCCTCTTCCATAAACATAGCACACCGAGCTAAAAAAAAAAAAGTCACGTGCTACGTATAACTTGCTACTCTTGAAAGTAGTTCAAATATAAATACATGCATGGCCCACTACGTATGTGCGCGCAGGCATGTGCACAAACATATACACGAATAGGTAACTGCTTGAAATATATTTATTTCGATTGACGTGTGCAGTAATTCATTTATTAATTCTTGTGTTATTTAACTACGTTTCTCCAACTCCATTTATTACATAACGTCAAATCACATCACAAAATTAACATATATGATGATTGCGTAACCATTTGGAGAAAAACAGTCGCGAACAATTTTGTGGCTTTCACTATGAGACAGTGAGGAAAGCAACACAATCCATTGCCACCTAATACGTCCGTTATTCGAACCCAGTATCTTCCAGTAAATCTACAGCTTTACAGCCACACCAATGGCCTCGTTGTTTCTTTTCCAAAGATATTACGTTTTATTAATTACATACGTAAAAACACTGCTTACCCTCTCGCCGAATAAGCATATAATTTTTAATTTTCTTTATCAATAGTGTCGCAGAGATGAAATGAAAATAAGTTGTATGTAAGTTGCGTACAGTTTTCACAAATTTGATTAGAAATCAATCTTGTTCAAGATACAATGTTATGTTAG